TTTTTTTTTTTTTTTTTTTTTTTTACTCCACCCCTTCATCCTCTTAAATTTTTTTTCTTGACCTCTCTCCAACAAAATGTAATGCTTCTTCCAAGGATCGTCCAATCATGTTTGGTTTTGGTTTTTTTTTTTTGAGCTCTCCATTCTGGTTTTTTTTTGGGTTTTCATTTTTTGTTTTTGTTGGTTTTTTGGGGGTGGGAAGAGGTGTGCAGATCTCTTTTAAGTTTGAGGTGTGGAGGGCTTGAGCAGGTTATCCTGATGACAAGTTTCCTTCAGAATTATCTCTTTCAGTAAGCAGAATGTAAATCCAATGGGGGGAAAAAAGGAAAAGCAATATCTTGTCCTTTGACTCCTACATTATTGTGTTTTTTATAACCTACAGGGTACTTTACTCCCCCCCAACCTTTGAATGTTACTTCAGTACTTCCAACTCTTCCTTTTAATTCCCCCCGCCTCAAAAAAGTATGTTTAGTTCTTCCCAATATTTTTGAGTATGGCTTTTTCCTCCATCTTTTGCTGAGAAGGGCGGGCTACTTTACCATACCTTTTCACTCTGCCTGGGCTGATCTTTTTGAATGCTTTTTTTAAATACTCCTCACCCAAGCTGGTGCTACACTTCTTAACTGACTGAGAGGAGGGTTTAGAGTGGTCTTTGTTTTTTTCTTTTTTTCATTTACCCAACTCCCAGCAGACTTCTGCCAGAGTAAGAGCTAGACCTGGTGTTGGCAAGAGTAACGTTGTAAAAATATGAATCCTGAGGCAAGACCCTTGCTTTAAAAATGGGTGAAATGCTGTAGGGCTCATTGAGAGTTAGTTTTATCTGTGTTGTTGGGGTGGGAAAAGTGACTGTGACCACCTTTACCAGCTTTGATCACATAAAGCAAGCACCTGTCTCCAGATAAATTTGCTACAGCTACTAAATCTGTGGTGACAAATCTGAGATAAGGCAAGGGTTGAGGAAACCAGGCAGCAAGGCTGAGAAGGCAAACATGAATCTGACCCTAATCACATAGCTTTGCAGGGGTCTCCTGGATTTGCTTGGGATTGGCTTGGCTTGCCGTGTTTACGTGCTCCTTCGGGAGGAGGTGGTTAAGAACTGCACAGTTTGCTCCTTTGAAGATTCTTTTCCCCTTTCCCCGTTCAGTGGTAACAATGCAGTTCTCCTCTTGTGAGAGGGTGTTCATGGAGCACCGGAGAAAGTGGCATATATTAGAGCATTTTATGGGTTTGGAAAATAGGCTGACTGGCTTCTTCCTAGTACTGTAACCTCAAAGCTACAGTAAACTCTACTAAGCTCTGCTTTGCATCCTTTCATGCTTTGTTTGCGTGAATATCAGTGCTCCTTTCTATGCACTGTTGCCAGCGATTTTATGTATGCCAATACAAATACCAACTTGAGCTTGGACTCTTCAAGCACCTGGGAAAGTGCACTGAGCTGAGACACCACCAACCTGCCCCATTCCCCAAGTAGATATTGAACTGCATTCCTTTCCTGTTTGTTTTTTAAAGTTTAAATCCACATCTTGAATTCATCTGCTTTGAAATCCTCCAACCTATAGTGCGCATTGCAGCATACATCTGGTTAGTAGGTGCTGTCCAGTCATTCAAGGGTGACTTGGGAACCAAGGATTTCAAGATGGGAGTTGTGGTGAGGCAAGGGACGGCACCCCTTATTGCACATTATGTGGTCTTTGATACCCGAGGGGTGACTATACAAGCTGCTCCAGAATTACTCCTCCTTTCCCAGAGGCATGTAGAGTTTGTTGGAGTGCATCTTGACAGACCTATGCTGGAAAACAGCTACTCTTATTTGCTGGGTTTGCACTAACTGAGTCTTGGGGATGGGCAGATCGCTAACAACAAAAGCCCCTCTGCATGGCCTGAGCACCTGTGTTTGCAACACTCAGTGGCAGACTCTGGCTAGAAAGATGCAAACGGTTTCCTTGGCCAGAGGCAGCCTAGTTTTGCCAAAAGCTTACTTTTAGTGCTGCTAGGACCTGCTCGCACTGGTTATGTTGGCAGTTCCAGCATCTTTCTAGAAGGGGATGTATTGAAGCACAATTAGCTTGTCATATGCCAACATAGTTTCCCTGGCCATCTGTAGACCAAACCAAGAGAAGTATGTGGAGGGAGAGAGATAGTATTGTATACGAGGATGTTTGTGCAGCACAGCTGTAACTCAGACCATAGCTGCCTCTGGTGCCAAGCAAAGTGCTCTTCATTCTTCTAGAACTAAATGGTAAGTGTTTGGGTTGGGTAGATGGGTGTGGGGATATGAACTCTTAGGATTTGCTGTTGTCGTAGGCTTCCACAAATCGGTGTGTTTCACAGACAGTTTTCCTTCAGGTTTAAAAGTATGAGTCTGATGTCTGAACTTACTTGGATTAACCTTTGTTTCTGTCTCTTTTTGCTTTGGGCTGCCATCATTCTATGAATGTATCCCTGAAAACAATTTTTAAAGCTCCTATTCTGCAGCAAACCTGCCTCATTGTAACTTCTGATAAAATGTTTTGTAGGAGGTGGAAGAGAGAGTAACCACAAATACAAGACTCCTTTTCCCAGGCTATTAATCCTGGAAAACGGTTGTTGAATCTTGAACACAAGGTTTAATCTAAATCTCATAGAAAGCTGTGTTCCCTGTACATGGATAAGGGCAAGTGAAGGTCAGTAGTTCTGAATGACAAACAGTTGTATTTTATTAGTAGATCAGCTGTGTTGAGTGTGGGAAGAGAACGCTGTTATCTTAGTGCTGTTACCCAGAGACACTGAAAATCGCGTGAAGTATGGGCTTATTGCAGAGAACTTCAGTTACTTTGTTTGTTGCTGCAGCAGGACCTCCTTGTAGCTTGAAAATAGCAGCTTATGAACAACTAAATTTTTTTTAAAAGTTGGGAGTTTCAGTGGAAAAAAAAACCCACCAGCACTTCCTGTTCTGGATGAAGATCTAGCAAGAAAAATGTATGCGACTAACAGCTTTAGAGTGTAAATTGTGTATATATGAGTTATTCCTGAATCTCTGCAACTGGTTTTGTCATACATTGGTTGAAGTATGAAGATACTATCTACAAAAAGACTCCTACTAGAGGAAACCATGGTACAGGGGAAGAAGAATCATCCAGGAGAGGTATCCCTCATTTTTGGGAGGGGGAAGGGAGAGATTTTATTTTGTCTATAGAGAAACTGGCTGAGTTTACATAATGCAGCTAATGGTTAAACCTGCCAACTAAATATGACATACTGTTAAAATTGAAACAAACTTATGTGATATTTCGTTAATTCTTGATGGTGCCCTGTGTCTAGTAAAAATTTGATCCCCCAAATTGTTTTATTCTCCCCCATGTTGTAATCCAGGGTCAGCTGCTATGCACAAAGTCTGTGTTTTGTAAAGTGTTTGCTGACTTGGATGTTTCTTTTGAATCTGCAACTGCTTTCTGATTAATTTGGCTAAGACCACCCCTGGTCTCTTGAGTTAAGATTTAGTCAAAGATATGCTGTATGCAGTTTACAGATGCATTCTCAATGTTACAAGTTAAGTTGCAGGGGGAGCAAATTCTTTACAATAAGATGGTCCATTTTTAATCTATATCATTGCCCTTGTTATACATCAGGAGCATGTTTTTGTTTTTCTCAAACTCTTTAGAAATACTGTTCAGAATAAACATGCACTATTTGAGTTATGTCATTTACAACTTGTCATGTGCATTTTTTTTGCAGTCCAGCTGTTTCCCTCTGAAATCAGATACAGAATATTCCTCAGATGCTTCATAAACTGTGTAACTCGGAAGATTTCTAACATGAATTGTGAGTTGGGCTGCTGTGATGAATGCCATGGGTGTCTGACAACTGAGGAGAGTGGGGTCTGTTTGTTTTCCCTGAAGTTATGAGCCTTTTCTCAGAAATCCTCTGCCTTATGGGGTGGGGGGGAGGATAGGAAGAGGAACTGTCCTCAAATATTTTTGCATTGACTAGTGAGCAGTCTTGAAACAAACAGACCAGGCATCAAGAACTCTGTGTTTTGGGCTTTATAGGTTAAATACTTTGAAGTGTTCAACTTAATTGCTAGCTATTGCAAATCTTGACAACAATCTTTGAGAAACTATGGTCTGTACCTGTAAAAGTAACTGGTCTTAAGATGCAGCGAGTACTCTTCCATACTGACTTTTCTCAGAAAGGTATTTAAGTAAAACTCATCTCTCTTTTTAACTATTCAGTCTCTTTTGTTAAAGCCATTTTTTGTCTGTAGCTTCTTTCTGCTCCTCTCCTGCTTTGAAGTGCCATTTATGAAGTGATAAAGTTGCACTGTGGTACAGTTTCTGGGGAAAAAGAAATGTTACCCCGAATATTCTATAGCATATTCTGTGTTCATTAGGATAGT